ATAATTAGAAATTTAATAACTTATTTAAATTAAACACTTATTCATATATTTTATGAAGTGTTCCACTTTAAAAATCATAATGCACTACTTGCATATTGTTTTAAAAAAGCTTGATAAATAAAACTCACCATCAAATGAGCCAGAAGTGACAGCTAATGCTAACAAATTTCTATAAGTTTCATCTGATGGTACATAAACAAAGACACCAGAGTTGAAACAATCCGGCCATCCTGCATCAGGTGCAGCCGACAACTCTTCTCTATCAAACAAATCATCTATATTTCTTATAACCTAAGGAAGACATGATCAGAGAAGTGAGCTACAGCAGCAGTATTTAATGTGAGGGTTTTATTAAAATAATGATAATCAAAAAAGCTAACTGATTTGTATGGATTGACAGTGAGATTAACTCAGTCAAAGTAAATACAACAATTAAACAAGTAAGATTCATTTATTATCCCATACCATACTGGTATTTAGATATTTGAGAAATTATTAAATAAAGATGGTGATAGTAAAGTGGATATAATGGAATCTTCTTTACTATCCAAGACTTACTGTAAACCTGGCGCTTTCATATACCTTTGTTACCAATGATGCAGGCGACAAGAAAGGCACCTTCCCATTAGCTTGGCTTGATTTCCCCCCCCCCCAACCTCAATTGTTAAAAAATTGAACACTGCTGTAAATGTATGTCTTATTTAATGCCTGGCTGATTTATTTTAGGACTGACAGTGATATAGGCCTCTTACCAGTGTATCTGCATCCAAAAATACACATTTCTGAAACTGAGTTAGTCGCCAACAGTGGAATTTAGTGAAGGTTACACTAAGATCAGGTCGACCCAAAAGTTCAAGGTTGCAAGTGTCACTGCTGTCTAGAACATTCACAGATATTGTCTGATTAAACAGACCAGCTAGCTGTTGCCTAATATGATAAAAATAGAAATTCAATAAACAAATAATCTTTATAAAATTGGATTTCTTAAAAAACCAGTGCGATGTGTTAGCTAAAAACAAAAATAACATAAAACCATCCCTAATTTTGCAACTAATTTCTTATTAGGTCTACCTCATTGATTCCGAAACTCCTTCTGAAACCATAACAACAAGCTGCCTTGTTGTACCCACTCTGCGAAGTGAGTTTCCCAAAACCAGACATCCTAGTGCATATGTGTCATTAGTGGCTAGTGTAACAAATGCTTCTCTGGCTTCTGCAGACATAAGAGAAAAAAAGCATTTAATATTAAAATATACTGGGATAGATCTCTGAGCTTATGGCAATTATTGCTCACACAAACAAATGCCTCTATTTTAAGTGCTAAATCATTAGATGAGGGTGATGTTGACTTGTCTGGTATATCAGTTCGACAAGATGAAAATGATAAAATAGCTACTATGTACATTGTTACGATACAGCAACACCTGGCTACTCCATGGGAAAATGATAGCAGCGCAATGGTCAGCTATACTTACCATAACCAAATTTATACTTCCACAAAAAATTATATTTAGTCTTCAACAACCTTTTAATGAAATGGATTCTGCATTGTAAAATTTAAGTGTAAAAACGTTTTAACTTGATTAACAAGCTAAAGATGTAATTGTAATGAAATGTTTCCCCTACAATTGTATGTGTCATTTAAATAGATCAGCACAAAGTAAAATGTATTGATGTTTTTAATTATATTATTCATTGGAAGGGGGGGGGGGGGATTAAAAT